TATGCATGTAAAACACACTTTTAATTTAGATTGCATATTTGGGGGTGTATATTTAGAGAAAGAGGCTGATAGAGATTATCGGGGGGGAACTGAAGTTACCCCAAGTCCATGAAGACCCCAGAGAACCACCCTAAAACATATAAACAAGTGTGAGGTAGACTAAATATGAACACAGAGGTAGTGAGGAAGAGAATGATGCCTGGGAGGATGATTCAAGGAAGTCTTCTTACAGGAGTTAAACTTCTGATTGTTCCAGAGGAGAGGTGCACAGAAGAATCCACAGGCATGGAGAGGAGTAACGTGGATGAAAGGCTCATGACCACAGAAGAATTTTGATCAATCTTAGAGGGCCTTCCAATGAACTCAAGGGCTGCTTCCTCTTATTTCCTTCATTTAAATAAAGTGGAGAAAAGTTGTTCAAACACATTGTGATAGAGGAACGTAACCTTACCCTGCTAGAATGTGTCCTGCCTTTTAAAAAGAGCATGTGTAATTTTGCCTGATCTTAATGGAGATAAAAAATTACTGAGCAATTTAAAGGTTCTACTTGCTAATTCATTTTGGTTAGAAAAAATCCTTAATCAGGGATAACCAAGATAATGGTCATTTATATGTTGTATGAATAATGATTATTTATTAAGCATCAGTAGGATTTTAAGCATGAGGTTAAAACAGAATTAGTTCAGTGAGACCACGAAACTACCTGGGGGTGTAATTTCTGAATCCCTCACTGATGTCATTCATTTCTTTGGTTTTGTTTTGTCATTCATAAAATGGAGCTAAAAGACAGTCCTCTCATTTAATACCAAGGCTCTTCTAAGGATGACTTAAATCACGGTTCATATTGCATGACTGGAAAGTAGAACATTCAGTGCGTGACACCAGTTAGACATTTGTGGAAGAACATGCAAGATCATGACGGCAGTCTATAACTTGGCTCATCTCTGCAGTAAATTATTTAAGAATTTTGCTCTAATTTGAGGGCAATGGGGGTGGAAGTGGGGTATGAGAAAAGGAAGATTTGGTCTTTTTTCCATCATCCCTTTTTAGGGTCTCCTTTTGATTCACCTTCAGGAAGTAGAATAGAAAAAAAAAAAAAAAACTACATTCGTCAGTAACTCTGGGGCAACCACAACTTAGACAGTAAGCAGGTCAATCGAAACAAGGGCAGTGATTGCTATAAAACGACAGGTACTCTCACTGACACAACACAGCAAACACAGGGTGACACAACACGGAAAGAGCTTCTGCACAAAGCAGGTGACCAGAGCAGAACGACAATGATCATACTGCACGGCACAGCCATGGTGAGTAGTAATAATAATTCCTGTTAGGGATGGTCATAGTTAGGATTTCAGAAAAGCAGATTTCTAAGAGATTAGGCTTGTTGGGGGTCTCTTTTGGGGTCATTTCTTTAAAAAACAGAGCTGACTTTAATTTTGACCCCTTTCTCGTGGAGAAAAAGAAAAATTAGCTAGAAGTTATGATGAGGTGCAAAACATAACTCACTCTGATGGCTTTTGCATAGTTGGTGTCTGTTGTGCAGCTCTTGGTATCACAATCTGGGCGTGATCATTCCTGTGGTCACCACTATAGAGTTAGGTTGGCCTAAAACTTATCTCATGTGAGAGCTTAGCCAGCATTTTAGGATATGTACATATATTATATTTTAACCAAGAAAGCTGGAGCCCTGAGAGGTTTAATGATTCCTCCAAGACTGCAGGTAGACGAGGAGTGCCCTGGAGGGAGGAAGTGAAACCACCCAGGGATGAACTATGGACAGCTCCTAGAGGAGGGAAATTTGCCACATATCTGACAGCTGGTTATTTTTGCATTGTCTCATTCCTCTTGGAGGAGAGATGAATGTTAGTGTGATGGAAATCTGCCTCCCCTGGGTCTAGAATCTTGCCTGGTAGGAGTCAGCTAAGACCTGGGAAGAATTTGATATAGAGGAGCTTAAAAACAGGGCTTGGCAAATCACTCATCATATTACTGGCTTAAATAATCCCTCTTTTTTTTTCTCCATTTACAAACCATGCAACTTAAAAGAGCTTGGATTGCATAAAAAGTCATGACATATGGTGATGATAATACTAAGTTATATTTATATACTGTTTTAGAGATGACAAGAAATGCAGCCAGGTGCAGTATTTAGGGGGCATAGACTTTGAAGTCAGACAGATCTGGCTCCCACTTACTAACTGTGGGATTTAGGGTAAGTTACTTAGTGGCTCTGTGTATTATTAATCCCCTTGTCTGTATAGGGGAATAATAAGGGCATCCTCCTTATGGGGTTTTTGGGGGGATTAATTAACATCATTGAGAATGACTAAATCTATACTCTGAAATAGCAGATCTACTCATGCATAGTTTTTAGTAACTTGACCATTTTCATACGACAACCAATAAGGATAGAGAAAGCATTCAATGTGTTAAATATTAATATTAATAATATTATTATTTTTACTTCTGAGACTCTCATCAACCCAGTGAAGTAGATTGGGACTACTTTCCCCATTACACAAATGAACAACAATTCAATCATCAGGTAGTGTACACACAAGAACTGGGACATGAATGTAGGTTTACTGGCACCAAATAACAGTGTTCACCTCTGTGATGTGTTCTGAATTTAAAGCCATCGTGTCCAAAAAATCTGTTGGATAGCTGTGTGCTCTAATGCCATTTCTATTTCTGGTTTCTTTGAAGAAATCTGTTGGATTATCAGCAAGAAACGTGACAGTGCAAGGGACATTAGAATAGGATTGGGACTTGGGAGGTGCTGGCAGATAGGACATACTCAGTAAGTAGCTGGGGCAAATTCTTGTGGACTTAGGAGCTGGCAGGTTCTGGAGCACATTCCTACATAGGGGTGGACACAAATCACAGACAGATTCAGGAGACAGAGGTTCAGATGGTCTCTTAGGAGCTCACATAGAGTGAAGTGTACAGTTGGGCTGAGAATGTTGGTGTCTCAACACCACCCACCTTCAGCTGGTGTGTTTTCTTGCCTCTGTTCCCTATTTTACAGATTGGGAGTGATATCTGTTTATCTGCCTCATAGGTGGCATGTAAGAATTCATCTATAAAATACTCTGAACTTCTCAGAGAAGAAGTGCTGTATATATCATACTTAAGAACCAGCAAGAACCCAATGAGAGACGCTGGTTGGTATTGCATAACCACTAAACTGCAGTTTCAGATCATCAGCTTTGTGGAGCAAACTAGAGCGATTTGCAGACATCATCTGATTTCCTAATGGAGGCCCACGTGACTGACAACACCCATACAATTCTAAGACAGTTGTCACATTGCTGAAAATGCTTGCTCCTTAGTGAGACAAAGCCAAGATCAAACACTGGAAGTGGCTCTATGTTGATAATGATGACAATGATCTTCAGTAGCAATAGCACTGACCACTGGCACCAACAGCCTGGTAAACCCAACCCAGTTATTTGTTGCCTGTCAGACACAACTCCTTCACTTGTCTAATCAGGATAATTAATACTAGCTCTACCTACCCCACAGGGTAGTTGTGAGAATCCAGTGTTTAAAGAGATGTGAAAGTGTTTTCTAAAATACTCGAAGAATATAAGTGAATATAATAATGACTCATTAGAAGCCTGGTAATTATTGCTAAATCCTATGACCCTGAAGTACAGTTACTTTAAAGTTTTGATAATGAAAATTAGAAATGATTCAGTGAATGTGATAATACAGAAGAGGAAAAAGACAACACGAAGAATTTACTTAAGAAACCTAAGGGAGTGACTGGTAGGCTTGAGAGGCTAGCTAAGGACCCCTTGGTCTAAGCAGGCATCCTTTCACTTTTGAAAACTTCATAGTGCTTTGTCTAGTCAGAAAGTGCATGAGGGCAAATTCCACATCTTTCCTGTCCACTGTGTATCATTAGCACAATGTCGACTTAATAATAGTCACCTGTGTTGAAAATTTACAGTGTGCTGGCAGTGCCCTTCATGTTTTATATGGGTCATATCATTTAACCATCACATTTCTGGTGGAGGAAACTGAGTTGCAGCTCGTAAGAGTCCCGGAACTGAGCTGCGGACCCAGGACATCTGAGTCCTGAGCCCGTGTCCTGAATCACTGGACTATAGAGACAAGAAAGAGTTGTTGAATGAATTAATGATTGTGCGAGATGAACTTGGTGATTGCTGATTATCTGAAGGCAAATCAGCCTCATTCGGGTTTATCTGGGTCAATCTTGCTTTCAACTTCTTTTCAGCATCAGCTACCTTGGGAGTAAGTTGACACCACGACCTTTTTGCTCGCTCTTATGATTTCTTGCCACCAGCATCTGCAAAATATAAAAAGGAGGTCCTTTAAACCAACATTTCTAGTCACCTTCCCTACCTTAACTCATGGAGGGTGTGAGGCTGAACAGCAGTGAGCCCAGAGAATGAAAGCAACTCAGCTTCAGCTCTCGTTCTGCATCATGTTAAGAGCCAGTGAGGGGCCTTGTCCATCCCCGGGAAAGGTCAATGGTGATGGGCTGAGCAAAGCACGGTTGTGACAAAGGGAAGCCAGACAGATTTTTAGCTCTTCTTTTATTTCAGTTAGGTCTTCACAGAGCTCTTTCTTTCTTTGTGCATTCCTGTAATACCAGATAAACCGATATTTCAATATAAGTATAAAAAATATATGTTCCAGAGCTAAGGAGAAATAGTTTCCATGTTCTCTGTTGTGCATCATTAATGTTCCTGCTTCTTTCAATTAGTATGGATAATTGGAACTTTGCTGTAGTTGGTTTTGCATAGTGTTTTTCATAAAACGTTGAGCTTACCTACATGGTTAATTTAACTGTGTTATTTTGTTCATTCGTTTAATCACCCACTCTTTCATTCATCCAGAAAGTATTTATGGAATACCCATTCTATGACATGTTCTCCTGTGGGAACTTACAGTCGAATAGGTGTAGATCTGACATGAACACAAATACTGCATTTCCAGACCATAAAGAAATGCTGCTTGAGTGCTAGATGGTAAAAGTTTCTAATGTGTTTCCTTCTCAGTTGGTACCTGATATCTTCATGTATGACTATTCCCATTTCCAGGTGAGGATCCAAAGTTCAGAGAGAATCCCTGATCCCATAAAAGACCAGGACTGCTGAGTTCAGCTAAAGCATGGATGTCTCTTGCCAGCAAGTGACACCTGAGTCCCTAACCACCAGCATCCTCCCTTCTTTTCCAGGTTAAGTCCCTGCTGCTCCTGATGTTAGGGCTCACCCTCCTGAGGGAGGTGGCAGCTAGGACAAACCCCAAAGCAGCCTCTTGCCCTCCTCTGGAGGACCATTTTGTGAGGGTTGACGTTCGCCTCATCAATCAAAACAAGGGTTTTTCCAGCTCACGTGACATCCAGAACCGCTCCAGCTCCCCCTGGGTTTACAAGTAAGTGCAAAGGAGATTGATCTTCACTTTTGAAAAATATGTTAATTTATTCTAACCATAAAGTAGAAAATTTGCAAAATATAGAAAAAATAAAAGCCCTCACATCCACTCCTAAAACCAGAAATCCCACTTTACCTGGGAACTCACATTTTTCTTGCTTTTTGGGCTAGGTCCTCCTCTATGGTTGAAGGTCCTATTTTGCTTCCAACTTCTCGACTCTGCCTTTTTTTGCTTCACGCAGCCCTACATTGGAATTTGCAAACTCTCTGTGTTGGAAGAGAGGGCTGTTTGAAGCAGCCCACATAATTATTTCTTCATGGGGATAAGTGAGAACCAGGAAAGTCGGTTTAGAGAGACCTGCTCAGATAAGACATCAGTCTTCAAGGAGCAGGGAGGAGAGCGGAGTGGAGGAGAAAGGCCGGTTTAGGAAGCGGGATGCTGGGCAGGGATGTTCAGGGTATGGTCTTGTGATTTCTGTCTTATGTGTAGCTTCTTGGAATACTAAGCACTCATCTATGTACTCCAAATATAAGCATGAAAACAGATTCCAGAGAAGTGCCTCTGGGACTGCTTGCATTGCCTCCCATGTGAAGGGAGTGTGTATGGTGGCAAGTTGGCTTTGCTGCCTTTAAGCCTCCGGGCAGAGGAGGCTCTGGGGGGAGAAATTGAGAGAAGGCATCGGGTTCACAAAGCTCTGGGGATTTGTTTTTCTTTTCCAAGCAGCAGGCTTTGTAGACTGTATATTGAGAGACCTACTAGCAATGTTTAATTTTTAAGCAAAGGATGAATAATAATTATAATAATAACAATATAAAGAAAAAGAAACTAAAAGATCCAACATTTATTGAATACAACGTTTTACAGTGTGGTGCTCCATACACATTTGTGTCACTGAATGTTCTAACAATCCCGTGAGAGAGGTATATGAGAACCCCCATTTTATAGCTGAGGAAAACTGAGGCTTAGGGAGTTAAGCACCTGCCAGAGGGCGGGCGGTATATGAATCCAGGCTGTCTGCTCCAGAACCTGCGCTGCAGCCCTGAGTTGCTCAGAACTGCCTCCCTGCATATGAGCACCAGTGCTACAGGGCTCTCATCCTTTGTCTCTCTTCCCCTCCCTTGTCTCATCATCTTCTTTTGCCTGCTTTTCCCACAGCATCACCCGGGACCCCAACCGGTTCCCCTCTGAGATTGTAGAGGCCCAGTGCAGGTACTTGGGCTGTGTCGATGCCCAGGGGAAGGAAGACCACACTATGAACTCCGTTCCCATCCATCAAGAGTTCCTGATCCTCCGGAGGGAGTCCAAGGGCTGCCCTGGCTCCTTCCGGCTGGAGAAGGTGCAGGTGACTGTTGGCTGCACCTGCGTCACCCCCATCGTTCAAGATATAAATGCCTGAGTGCCGCACGGCTGCTCCACTGAAGAGGCTGTAGAAACGCCACTCCTTAACGAGCACTCAGCGGCAAGTCCTGTGCGGTCCTTAGTTCTCTCCCCTTCATAGGACTCTCAATAAGATTTGCATGGAATTCTCAAAGCTCTGTATTAGATATAGCATTAACTCTCCAGGGCGCTTCAGAATCCTAATATAGTCCTGTGATCTTCCAATGCCCCAACCCCCTGAGAATGGGTGGAGGAGAACGCAGGAGCCCTTGGCCCACTCTCTTTATGTGCTCTGATGACCATCTCCTAGCCATGCAGTCACTGTGATACACTGTCATTCCCTGGGAGCTCTGTTGGTAAAGTGGGCCTCTGTTCCATGTGCATGAAAACACCGAAAATATAACCACAATGTAGGAGGGTGTGAGAGGGGCTGTGCAGGATGAGGTGGGCTGGGAAGGATGGGGATAAGGATCTAGTTCATGTTTATTAATCATTCACTAAGTATAGATGAGGTTGGCCTGATATTTATGTTTGTAAGGAAGTTGTCCATATATTTATGATGTATTAATTATATAAAATTTCAGGAGAAAAATAATATATCAAGGACTAATATAATAAAGTATTAATGATTGAAAAATACTTTGTGTTCATTTCCAGTCTTAGCTTGTACTCACGGACCTTGTAGCCTTAAAGATTTTGAAATTCTATATACCTGTCATGTGTTTTCCATATTTCATCATCAGAGTGCAAGTGTTAGTGTTATTTCATTACTATTTTTTTGTGTGTGTGTGGTCTTGGTGATATTAATTTTTTCCCAGTTTTATTGAGATATAATCAATAAATAACATGGTACAAATTTAAGGTGTACAATGTGATGATTTGATACATGTATCTATTGAGTAATGATTACCACAACAAGGTTAGTTAACACATCCATCGCCTCACATAGTTACCTTTCTTTTTGTTTTTGTGGTGAGAACATTTAAGATCTACCCTCTTAGCATATTTCAAGTATACTACACAGTATTGTTAACTATAGTCACCACGCTGTAGATTAGAGCCCCAGAACTTATTCATCTTGTAACTGAAATTTTGTACCCTTTGTCCAACATCTCCCCTTTTCTCCCACTCCCCCCCTCCGGCAACCACCATTCCACTGTCTGTTTCTATGCGTTGGAGAGTTATTTTATTTTTAATGGTTCTTGGAGGTTACATGGAGAGTTAAGGAAAATGGTGCAAACAGAACTCATGTTCACTGGTCACTCTTTACTACTCCATCTTCCTGGCTACATTATTTTACAAAGTGAACATTTATTGGGCACCATGCTAGCCAATGGAGATACAGTAGTCCCACATTATCCATGGTTTTTTTCAGTGGTTTCAGTTATCCACGGTGAACCTCTGTCCAAAAATATCAAATGGAAAATTCCAGAAATAAACAATTTATAAGTTTTAAATTGCATGTGTTCTGAATAGCTTGGTGAAATCTCTCGCTGCCTTGCTCCATGGCTCCAGAACTCTAGGTCACAATGCCTGCATCATTCACCTCACTTCATCTCACCACATAGGCATTGTATCAACTCACATCATCACACGTTGAAGAGTGAGTACAATATGATAAGATATTTTGAGAGACAACACATTCACATAACTTTTATTGCCATATATTGTTATAACTGTTCTATTTTATTGTTAGTTATTGTTGTTAATCTCTTACTGTGCCTAATTTATAAATTAAACTTTATCATAGGTATATACGTACAGGAAAAAATATAGTATATGTAGAATTTGGTGCTATCTGCAGTTTCAGGCATCTACTGGGGGTCTTGGAACGTGTCCCCCATGGATAAGGGAGGACTACTGTACAAAGAAGAGTAAGAAATGCCTATGGAAGGGCCACAGTGTTTGTAGTGGCCACCCACAGAGCCCTTGGTCATTAGGGCCATGGTGGTCAATTTGCATCCCCCTCATTCTGACTTCTGGGGACTTTTGGGTCAGTGGTTGTCTTTCATCCGTCTCTTATGCTTCTTGGGGATACAGGAGCTTCCAGATTCTGGTTTCCATGCCCCTCAGAGGTTCTCGTCCTTCTCTTTCCCAGATATGGCACACTACATTTTCTCCTTTTCTGCTACCACACCACTGGCTCAGAGCACATCTGCATTGCTGCTGCCTTCCAGGTCCCAGAGAGGAAGTGGGGCACAAGTTCTTACTCCCACCTGCAGCTTGGCCTGAGGATGGGCAAGTGGCAGGAGCCTGGCACTCATTTCTAACTCTTTAGTGTGGGCGGCTTTTATCTAGTCCATCGGTGGGGGTGGCGATGGAGTAGCTCGGTAGACTGGCCCTTCATTTCTTTGCGTCAGAATCTTGTGTTTACGGTATAAACATTGACATGTGTATTTAAAATATTCAAGCTCTTGAAATCTGAAAAACATTTTTTTCTCGTGGCTATCAGCTTCATAAGTTTGCTGTGAATCTCACAAGTCCAGTTTGCTGCCCAAATCTGTGCAATGAATCTTCCTCTCTCTGTTTGTTTTGGCAGTAATAGCCCTACCCTGAGGGTAGTAGATATAAAAAGCCTCTGTCTGAGTGGTGGGAGAAGTATAGAGATAAAGGAAATTGCAGAGGAAAAAATTATACCTCTGAATGTATCAAGATATTATCTTTTTTACACATGTACACATGTAATTTCAAAGCAATGTTCTAAGTACGCTGATCAAGAAACGAGATGTTAAGAAGGCACAGAGGATGATAGCTCACCAGGAAACTTCAGAAAGGAGACGACCTTTGCACTGAGATGAGTATGAGCTGCTCTCAAGAAAAATGAGGGAAGGGCGTTCCCAGCAAAGGGAACAATATAAGCAAAAGTACTGGGGCACAAAAAAGCTTGGTGAGCTAGGGCAACAGCAAGTAGTTCCATGCACCCGGGGTGACGTGGACATGGGGACACGGGGGATTCATAATAGGCATTTCTTGAAAGAATGATTGAATAAATGAATGAACGAATGAATTACAGATGTGATAAGAGCATAGCGGTATTTCATAAGATAATTTCGGTGGTAGTGTACAAAAGGGATTGAAAACCTGAAGGCCAGTTAAACGATCAGAGAGAAGGCAATTTCTCTCCCCTGGTAGATTGACACTGTTAGAGCTAGATGGGCCCCTGGGTACCACCCGGTCAACCTTTCTCATTTGCAGATGAGGCAGAGGAATTAGGTGACTTGCTCAAGGTCACCTGGGTAGTTCGTGGCAGAAACAGGCTCACTGACTCCAAGTTCACGACGTTTCATGTTGGTTTTGGAGCTCTCTACAGTATTTCCAATAAAGACCCATTTCAGTCACTTCTCTGTGTGACCTAGGGCTGGCCCAGGGCTGTGGGCCCTGGCCCAGAAGTACCTCCACATCCTACATCTCCAAATATATTCTACGAGGTGCCCCCTGGAATCTGGGCCCCTGAGCTCCCTTCCTGGCTTGAGCTGAGAGGGGCTGTCATTCAGGAAATTGCAGGTCCTCTCCCGCTCACAAGGTGGCACACTGCACCCATTTGTTTCCAGATTCCTTAGCATAGGTCACAAGGAAATAAACAGCTCCCTTATGGGGGAACTTGTCTTCTTCGGCAGCCACTTGAGACACTGCTGAGGCAGAAGTGTCTTCTGAGCAGGCTGTGTTCTTCAGCTCTGAGCCCAGCTTTCTGGGACTCCGAGGTCCCTTTTTTGCCTGCAGGAGAAATGGTTTAAGTTGAGTGATTTAGGTGTTCAAATATAATATCACCATTATCATGTGGGGAGAGAGAAAATTTTCTTCCCACATGGAAACTTGAAAACATATAGCTTTTCTTTTGAAATCCAGTTTTTGTTTATAAAGGCTTGGTTGAGGGGAAAAACATATTCTCAATCTCTCTTTCTCTCTCCCTGTTTCTTCCTCCCTTGCTCCCCAAATCTTGACAAAAGTCACCTATATTTATGACGCTGCATGGGAGAAATTTCACTTGTAATTTACAGTGAGGTATATGGTTATGAAATTGTGTAGTCTTTTTTTTTTTTTCCTAACAGGAGAGGTAGAAAAAAATGCATTTAATGTTTAGACAGCTCTTGACTCCGAATCCTGGTTCTCCATTTTCTGGTTGTATGAATTTAGGCTGTTTAGTTCTTCTAAGACTCAGCTTCCTCATATGTTAAATGGGGGATAATATCGTTCCTAAAAAGTAGTGTGTAATGTAATTGAAATTAAAAAAGTAAAAGACTTGGTACAGTCCCTAGAAAGCGGTAGGCACGTAGTAACAGGTAATCATTATCCCAAGAGGCCCAGAACTTATATTGCCTGTTTTGCTTGGCCCCAGGAAGCTCACAACCAACTTTTATGCTTAAAAGCCATAGCATTCCTTGTGGTTATCAAATTTACTCTCCATTTAATCTCTATATATGCACATATATAATTTAAGGTGATTTAAACAAATGATCTATATATTGTTAATATATTATTTTATTATTACACAGATGTTTTGTTTAAATCACCTTAAGTTAATTTGAAAAGAGTAGAGGAAGCTATAGATTTAATACATTAAAAAAAAATTCCCTTGGGTCCAAATGTTCATTGTAGCCTATTCCACCGACATAAACTGGAAGAAAAGCATTTTTAGTTCAATAAGTCACAAGGGTGGTACATGTTCAGCTGGATTCCCCTCAGGGGCCAAAGGAGCACACATGTTCTCAAACACTGAGACGTTGTTTTTGACACGCTGTTTGGTGCTAAGGAAAGAATCATTGAAAAAGTGAGAGCTTCTGAAGCTGATGGGCTCTAAACCTTGCTTGTGCATCTCCAAGAGTCATAAAAGACTACAAAAAACAACTCCTTCTTCCTTAAAGAGTACCCAGGAAAACAGAATTTCTTCCATCAGAGAGAGAGATCAGGTGTGCGGGAGATAAGGCATAAGGTAAGAAGCTGTGGGACCAATGTTAGTGGGGAGAAACATCTACGTCTGGAGGATTTTCCTTCATGTGGTCCTTACATCTGTGAATCTGATAGGGAGGTTGTACTTACCAAGTCATAATTCTGCATCTTCTCATATTTGCAATAGAATTAAATTGCATTTGCAACAGATCCTTACTTGACATGTTTGGAGTATTAATGTGGCCCAGGGAGCTAAACTCAATAACAATTTCGTAAAGGGTTCTTGAAAATAATAGAAATGATAACAATCATAGCAGCTCACATGTACTGCGTGCTGGCCATGTGTGTCTGGCACTGTGCTGTTTTATATGCCTCTCTGTCCTCAAAACAGTGGCATGAGTTTGGAAATATTATTATCCCCATTTTACAGATGAGAGAACTGAGGAATTAATCACTTGTCCAAGGTCACACGAGATAGTAAATATTAGCTTCAAGGTTTAAACTCTGGTCTCGTGGACTGCAGATCCCCTATTGCATCTAATTGGTCCCTCTGTATGAAGTTGGATAAGTTACCTAATATTTCTTCACTAGAATCTTTTCTAACTGAAAATGAAGAATGATTAAAATGGTTCTTACATAGGTCACTGGAGGTTCTCAGGATTAACTCAGTCTACAAAGAGCATTGGAGATC